GTCAATATTTGGCCTTGACACCATTCAATGTTGGGATGGATATTTTCCCTACTACATTGGTTTATACGATTATGGATTTCCTATTCTGGAGAAATACAAGACATAACGTGCAAAGCATTGATAATGATATGTTTCCATGGAATGTGGTTTATCTAGAAACCAAGGAACAAAAAAGTTTTTGAAGGGTGCAGTTTCAGAATTTAAAGCGTGCCTCAAATTCCTAATATGAGAGTCATGGAGGATGATTGACCAGTGGTTCATGCTTCTAATAGCATACAGTGTCAGATTGATGGGTCGTGGAAGGAGTCAGATCCAACATCTGGGTTGGATAGTTCGGTTATCAAGGAAGAAGGACAATGCTTTAAGGGGTAAAGGAGACCATACGATTGTGATCACCTTTGCAATTAAAGATGGCAGCTTTGTTATGGGCAATGACGTGCATTTTTTTATGACTGTCGACTGCCAGGAGTTTGAGACAGAATGCTCTATCTTGGTCCGAATTTCACATTCTCCAGAGGATTAGCCTGCTTTCGCCATTTTCATAGCCTGTTTCACAAACTTACGGGCAAGGTTTGCGACTTTCTCGTTAACCCTGGTTCCTCGTCTCTCAAACAAGCATTCATATTGTTTAGCCCGCGCAGCTCGTTTAAGATTTATTGAAATTTCTATTGTTAACAACTCACCTCCACATTGGGTAGCTAATCGTGAGAGATTTTTTTAATAAAAATCTTATTAGTTGTAAAAAAAAAAGATTTTTACTAATATGGTTAATGAATCAAGATTTAAACAAAGAATCTCTAAAGACATGGAAAAAAGTACAACAAACCGCAGCTCGCAGTGAAAAATAGGTACGACAAAGCTCTACACGAAATAATAAAATATGAACTGATTTTGTATAAGTCTGAGTGGATGAGATTGGAATTAGCTTCTTCAAAGCTGGTCTTGTTGTATTTATGGCATGCAATCACATCCAACTGCTCCTGTCTTTTTGCAACATATTCTTATCACGATCCCATATCTTCACTGTTACTCTCGAGATTTGCTCCTTGACCAAATCCATTTGTTATCAATGAGCTCTCCTTTAGTCTGAAGCTCTCGAGTAAGTCATCTAATTGTCCCCAAACGCCTTCGTTGAATGGGCCAATATATCTTCTGAATGGGTTTTTCTGTTGGCTAGGTTTGGTATATGGAAAGCTTGAAGGGAAAAGATATTATGTCAAGCCGATTCTTGCGCAGTGGATAAACTCGAATCAGAAGGTGATAGACATGTAAAGATTTTATTCGAAGAGATCTACGATTGGGATTGCTTGGTTTAAAAAGTCTGAAGACTTAAAACTCAAAACGACAAACATCAAAATAGACTCTCAAAGTCTTACACTCAAAATGACAAAACAACAAAAACAGACTCTTAAAGCCTCAAAACGACAAAACAACACAACAGAATCTTGAAGACTTAAAACTCAAAATGACAAACAACAAAAGAGACTCTCACCCTCAATCGAATTTCGATGGATTGATTCATTCTTCACCACCAAATGGATTCTTGGGCATGTTCAAGATTAGTTCATTTCAAGTGTTGTTGTTACCAAAATCCACATGAGAAGGAGGAGGAACACAATCAAAAGGGATAAAACACCCCTTATACTCTCTATCACCCCAACCGTTCTGAAACTTGCATTGTTCGCAGAACCAGTAACTGGTCGATGCATCCTCATCAACACCAACCTCAACTTCAGGCAAACCATCTTCAAACGTCTTTAGAAAGTAATGGAAGTAGTTACCAGTGCTTTTAGTACTGGTTTCCACTTTGTGCTTGAAACAAGTGATATCTCCAGCTGAGATGGCTCCATTAATCAACTCATGTAGAGTCTCTTTGTGTTTAAGAAGAACTTTGTTAGCTTCTCCTTCAAGGTGATTCAGGTAAGGCTTTTTCGGGGTTTGATCCTCGGTCATGACATAACCAAACAAAGAATTCCATTTCAGGACTTGTCTGCATTGCACGACAAACATCCATGCTTCTTTCAAAGCCTTCATGTCTTGCTCGCCTAAACTGCAATCCGCGGTTAGTTTCGGGATGATGTTTTCCTCGATGGCTTTCAGATTGGATTTAGCTTTCACCAATGCTTCACCAGTTGCCTTCGAGAGACTCATGTGAAGTTGTAGAGCTTTCCCATTCAAAGACGCATATTTTGTTGGAGCAGAGGCTAGATCACAGTTCTATTTTCCATTGTGTGTTTTCCCAGATCGGAAGCACACCCAACAGAAGCTACCACTGATTTACACAAGAAGTAAAAGCACAACATAACAATGAGTTTAAAAATCTAAACCTGGTAAGCGTAAGAAAGTAAAGAAAAAGGTTTAGATCTTTAAATTTATTGTTATATTTTGCTTTTACTTCTTGTGTAAATCAGTGGTAGCTTCTGTTGGGTGTGCTTACGATCTGGGAAAGAACACAATGGAAAATAGAACTGTGATCCAGCCTCTGCTCCAACAAAAGATGCGTCTTTGAATGGGAAAGCTCTACAGCTTCACATGAGTCTCTGGAAGGCAACTGGTGAAGCATTGGTGAAAGCTAAATCCAATCTAAAAGCCATCGAGGAAAACATCATCCCGAAACTAACCGCGTATTGCGGTTTAGGCGAGCAAGATATGAGGGCTTTGAAAGAAGCATGGATGCTTGTCGTGCAATGCAGACAAGCCCTGAAATGGAGTTCTTTGTTTGGTTATGTCACGACCGAGGATCAAACCCCGAAAAAGCCTTACCTGAATCACCTTGAAGGAGAAGCTAACAAAGTTCTTCTTAAACGCAAAGAGACTCTACATGAGTTGATTAATGAAGCCATCTCAGCTGGAGATATCACTTGTTTCAAGCACAAAGTGGAAACCAGTACTAAAAACACTGGTAACTACTTCCATTACTTTCTAAAGATGCTTGAAGATGGTTTGCCTGAAGTTGAGGTTGGTGTTGATGAGGATGCATCGACCAATTACTGGTTCTGCGAACAATGCAAGTTTCAGAACGGTTGGGGTGATAGAGAGTATAAGGGGTGTTTTATCCTTTTTGATTGTGTTCCTCCTCCTTCTCATGTGGATTTTGGTAACAACAACACTTGAAATGAACTAATCTTGAACATGCCCAACAATTCATTTGGTGGTGAAGAATGAATCAATCCATGGAAATTCGATTGTGGGTGAGAGTCTCTTTTGTTGTTTGTCGTTTTGAGTTTTAAGTCTTCAAGATTATGTTGTGTTGTTTTTGTCGTTTTGAGTATTTAAGAGATTTTGTTGTTTTGTCGTTTTGAGTCAAATCTTTGAGAGTATGTTTTGTTGTTTGTCGTTTTGAGTCTGGAGATTTAAAGAATGGTTTATATTCTTTAAAAATCCATCA